TCAATTCCATTTTCCATTTCGTCCAAAGATAAACTAGAACTAACTAAACTAGGAGAAGACTTAACATGTCCCATGTCAGTGCCGGGGGCTGCACATGGGACCACTAGTTTTCCGACTCTTCTGGTGCAGGGAGGGGCTCCTCAGGAGCGGGAATGGTGTGTGTACTGGCCCCGTGCATAGGGCGGGGGCCTTTATTGGGGCAGGCGCGAGCCATATGCCCATGTCCTCCACAGTAGAGACAGAGACCTCGGGCGATCCGGTCTTGCCTTTCGATAGGGGTGAGCTTTCTACGGCCGGCAGAGAGATCCATGGGGCCAGCGGCGGTGCCTGTAGCTGTGGAAGCTGGGGGTGGAGCAGGAGCAGGGGTGCGAGGAGCAGCGGGGGTGGAAGTCCTCCAGGAGGACGAAGAGGAGCCTTTCTTTTCCGCAGCGCGGGCACGAACATTGTTGTCCAGTTGCTTGAGGAGGCAGAGGTAATCATTGAGGGATTCAGGGACGGAGAAGACGTGTACCAGAGCGTCTTTTAGTTCCGTGCTGAGGCCTTGGTAAAGGGAGGTTTGTTTGGCGGCATCGTTCCAGAGGGTATCGACGGCAAGGCGTTGGAAGTCGGCGAGGTATTCCACGAAGGGACGGTTCTTTTGCTGGAGGCTCCTCAGAGCACGTTCGGCTGTCTGGACCCTGTTGGGGTCGCCAAAGGCTTGCTCCAGCTCGGAGTAGAGGGCGTTCATGTTTTCAAGGTTGATACGATCAAGCAAGACCAGGTGTTGGATCTGGACGAAAGCACGTCCACGGAGGAGACCGATGGCGTAACCGAGGCGGTGTTGTTCACTGGTGAACCGGTGGCTGTCACCCTGGAGTTTCATCCGCAACTGGGTGAGGAAGGGGCGAAGTTTCTCGGTGGCACCGTCGAAATGTTCCGGGTCAGGGATTGAGACCTGTTTGCTGCCACCGACGGGGGGTGCGGCACCGGGAGCGGGCATGAGGGCCAGAGCGGTGTTCAAGGACGTGATGGTATTATTGGCCTGTGTGAGGCTAGCTTCGACGATAACGAGACGGGCTTCTAGGCCTTGGCCTTCGGTACAGGCGTCGTCTCGTTCTTGGAGGAGGAGGTTGCATTGTTGCTGCAACTGTTGGTACTGGGGGGTCTGTTCTGGGGGAACAGGGGTGGCCTGGCGAGGAGGAGGAGCGGGTGCATTCAGGATTTCGCGGGCTAGGTTTCTGGCAAGGTTGAACTGGGCCTGGAGTTGACCATGGTCTAGGCTTTGGGCGTGGTCATCTCCCAGGTTCGCGAGAGTATGAAGGGGGCCGTTGATATTATCAGGGAGGTGAGACGTGGCCATGGTGTGGTGTGGGTTGGGTCCTGGTAGACGCAATCTTGTGTAACGGACAAGGTCTGAGGGTCGGGTAGCCCAAGGCACACCACGTTCAGGACAGGCAGGAATCTGGAGACGAGGTCTAGGTGCGGGGGTACAACCGAAGCGAGTTGTACGAGGTTCGGGGTTCAGGAACTCAGGGTCAGGGTTCGGGGG